CGAGTCGACTTAGGAGCAAACTGTTTTTTAAATGATCGTACTGGTCAACCTTATTGGATTATGTTAACGTTGTATATTGTTGTCTTTTTCTGTTATTGAAAGAACGAAACGTACGAGCTTCCCTTGGACGAGCAAACATGAGGAGACTGTTTGAACGTAGTTTAAGTGTGGTACAATGAGTAGGATAAGAGGATATAAAATTCGTGGATAGTTTCGAGTATTGAATGGACCTATTGAATGTGGGAAGAAAAGACATTGGTTGAATGTTTTTGATTTGTATATGTTTGTATTCGAAAGGAGGATTCTTACGGAATGAGCTTCGGAGAAGAGGAATTTTTTCCCTATTGACGTTAAATGAGGATTTTGAAGGCTCGATTCGTCGGTGAGGTTTTCGAAAGGAATTTACAAAAATTATGTAACTTATTTATTTCTCATATATTACAATGAAAACGACAAATATTAAGTATTATCCTATTTAAACAATTCTTCTAGGAAAATGACAATCGGAGTAAGAATCTTTAGGCATTTAGGAACATAAATAAACCGAAAATTAAGTAACGGACATTAAGCAAATTACGGTTGGACACTGTATTTATTTACATCGTAAAATGAAATTAAGCAACTGTAAACATCATGACTCGAAATGAATCCGTGCAACGTAAAGTAAACATAACAACAGTATAATTTGATGATCTGTAGGTCGATGTGGCGACGAGTCCGACACGGAGAGCGAACCTGGCATTCCCCTGAAGCGAAAGCAACGCAGAAGCAGAACAACGTTCACTGGAGAACAGCTAGAGCAGCTGGAGACTGCGTTCCAGCGTGCTCAATATCCAGACGTCTATGCTAGGGAAGAATTGGCGCAAAGGACTGGTCTTACGGAAGCGAGAATTCAAGTGTGTTTCCCGCCTTTTACCAGACCTCTCATCCCAACAAAATATTCTGCACTTTAAATTATTCAACTGCTCGAAGTAGTGGAAAATTGAATTCGTTGCTATATTTGTTGATTACTTCACCACTCCAGCTTTTGATCTCTTTTCCTTCGAATTCGATTATTTTATAAGAAAAATATACAAATTTGAAGACACGCAGCTTATTGAGGATCTATTGCAGAACATTAACAATCTTACGAGAAATGATGCTCGATATCTCAACGAATGTTTGTGCCTGTTCATTTCAGGTGTGGTTCAGCAATCGCAGGGCACGGTTGCGAAAACACGCCGGCAGCATTACTCACTCGGTAGCAGGCTTACCATTAACCCCCTGCCAATACGCAAGCCACGAGCTCATGCAAATACCGCAGGTACCTCAAGTACCTGCTGGACTAGCTCAAGTACCTACAACGTTGCATCACAGTCCAACAACACTGCAACAATCAAACGCTGCTATCCTTCATCAAGTGCCTGGAACAAGTGCACAGATGTCGACCACGACTTCCGTGGCTCCAGTACCTTCGGCAATTAGTAGTGCTCTGCAAGGACACGCGGTGTCGATTTCAGGACACTTAAATTCTTTACAGGGACACGCGACTCAGATTGGGCAGGTACCAACAATTCAACCTTCAGCAGCTC